CGGCGCTCACCAAGATGCCCCTGCTCCTGGGCACGTTGCCGTCGTACTTGAGCATGTTGGCCATGCCGTAGAGGCCGTGGTGCACGCCGATGATATCAAAAAGGGATACAAAAAGCATGACAGAGGTTCCTGTGATCATCTTGGCGAGATTCTGGCTGTCGCGCAGCCAGCCCGAGAAGTCCAGCATCATAAACGTTTCCAGCCTGGGCGTGGCGAAGAGCCCGTCGGGGCTGTTCACAAAGCCGAGTGCCCAGCAGCCAACCGTGACGACGGTGATGCCTATGAGCATCGCACCGTTCGACCACTTGCTCACGAGCAGGCACGAAATGAGGCCGAACGAGATCAGCGCCAAATAAAATGCATTCGTGGAGCACTGCAGATTCGAAAATGTGACGTAATTGCTCCGACACCGGAAATTCTCTAGACCGTGGTGCGAACTGACCTCGAGGCCCATCATCTCAAACCCAACCATCGCCTGAAAGATCCCCATGGCAACAGTCACAGCCTTCTTTAGATAGTCGGGGAACGCCCTGGCAACTTTGTTGGAAAGCCCGAGAACTGCGAAAAGAAGGAGGAGGAGTCCAGTGACGAAGCAGCAGCTCATAGCCTCGCCCCACGAGATCTCCAGCATGTGACACAGGCCGAAAGTGAAATACGCTGTAAGACGAAGACCAGGTATCACTGCCACAGGGGCCCGGTTGAAAACGCCGGTTAGGAAGGTCCCGATGCACCCGGACAGCGCAGTCGCGGTCACCAGGCTCTCCCACGACGCCTCCATGTGCTTGTCAGCTTTGCTTAGGAGCACGGGGGTGACGAGCAGAACGTAGGTCATGGACAGAGTGGAAACACATCCAGCACGGATCTCTGTCCTCACGCTAGACCCATGCGAGGTCACCTTGAAAACCCGGTCCAGCCAACGGACTACCTGCTGCACGAAGCACCGCGAGGCGCCGACGGAGCCGTCGGTCATGTACACGTACCTCGAGCTCGCCTCCTCATGGCAGCTGGTCGCCACAGGAGAAACATCGACCAGCATCCCCGCTCAAGGCACCAACGAACCAAACCGCCTGAGCCGCATGACTAATAGTAGCAGTGGTAGCATCGGTGTCAGGAAACCTTCCATGCGTCTCCGCTCTCGAGGCTACGCCGACGGGCTCAGAAATCAAATGGATCGCCAGCAGTGGTGCCCACAGCATGGAAACAGAGCAGGATGCCCACTGCAGAGGGAGGTTCCACCCAAACACTCTTCCTCCTGGTTTGTGGAGGCCACGACTGCATCAGGCGCAAATGATGACAACGCCTTCCGGCTCGCAGGGAGCCACAAGGGGGCCCAAACAGCAGCCCATAGATCGGCCTGCACACGAGCGGGCCAGCAAGGAAGTCACGGGCCGCAGGCCGCGAGTCCCCGAGCCTGGAGTCTGGAGACCACCCCGTGCAACAAGGGGTCACGATACGGCAGTCGGCGGCAAGCCCGGGGGGGGAGTGAGATGGGGCGGCCCTCCGCAGAAGGTTCGGAAGTCCCCCAGCCTTCTGAGAAGTGTTCTAAGCCTTCCTTCCCCGAAGGCAAACAAGAAACTTCTCGGAAGGCGCGGGGGCTTCTGAGCAGTCCCGCCGCCTTCTGAGAGGGCTTTCTCCTGCTCATTTCCCCCCCTCGCTAGCCGCCGAGGCAGGCACCAACTGACGAACGAACAGCACACACCCATACCCATTGGGGGGGTCGTTGGGAGGAGGACTGGCTATGGGTATGGGTGCGGGTTGTCGGACCCTGGGGAACGCTCCCGTTCGAGCGGGGACCCCCATCCGACAACACGCACCCATAGCCCTCTCCGACCCCCCTGTGGGTTGATGGTTCGTCACCAACCCACTCGCGGGGTGCCCACGGCGCATGCGCCACGAGCCTCCCACTCAGAAGTCCAGGCGCTGCCCCCCCCCCACACGCACACTGGGGCCACGGGAGCCGGGGGCCACGGGCCGCGGTCCACGGGTCACCGGACCGACAGGCCAGTCACCGCCTCGAACGCTCAGGGGGACTCTTGGGTTTGCACTGGTCCTCCTCCGCCTCCTCCTCCTCCTCCTCCTCCTCGGCCTCATCCTCCTCCTCCTCCTCCTCCTCCTCCTCCTCCTCCTCCTCCTCCTCCGCCTCCGCCTCCGCCTCCTCCTCCTCCTCCTCCTCCTCCTCCTCCTCCTCCTCCTCCTCCTCCCTCCTCCTCCTCCCTCCTCCTCCTCCTCCTCCTCCTCCTCCTCCTCCTCCTCCTCCTCCTCCTCCTCCTCATCCCCCTCCTCCTCCTCCTCCGCCTCCTCCTCCTCCTCCTCCAACACACGAGGTAGCCGCGAGGAAGCGGTGGTCAACAAGCCGCAAGCAACGAGTCACCGAATCGAAAGCTCAGAGACTAGGCCCACCCACAAGGGAGTGGGGGGAAAGGGCTACGGGACAGGGGCCATGGGCCGCCGAGTCTGGAGCCCTGAACTGGGGAGCCCGCAAGAGACGCATGCGCCCAGCCACGTACATGAATACAGCCCCCCCGTCCGCGAAGCCAGCCTGGTGTTAGGAGCGCTCGCGCCATGCCAACTCTCGAAGCCCACGGAAATTCGTGCTCACGCGCATTTTTGTTGTTGCTCGCTCCCGCAGGGCATCCTCCCCGCGCCGAGGAGCCGCGGGCCAAGCCGAAGACCACGAGAACCACCGAGCGGTCGGACCGGACACCACCCGCCGCACTGCAGGGGTCCACAAGGGGGGCCACGGTGGGCCGCGGGCCGCACTCCACGGGCCGCCTGGCCGAACAGCTACGAGAACACACCTCCGCCCGCAGAGCGCACGAGGGGGCCACGAAAGGAGGCCGCGGGCCGCGGCCAGCAGACGGGGGGGGGGCGGGGGCGAACGCCACGAGGCCTGGCCCATCCCGGGCCCAGGGCCAGTGCATACGGCAGGTTCGCGTCGTGTCGACCCCAGCGATGGTTTCTGTCACCTCGGGGATCGTTCAACCTTGAACGATCGGCCCTTTCCGAGACGTGCGATCCTTCAACATCGACCGATTCTGGGTCGCCGGCGGCGTTCAACCTTGAACGCCCATGCTGGGGTCGCCGCCGGTCGACACGACACGAACCTACCGTACGCCCTCTTGCCTTGGGCACGAGGGCACACACACACACACTACACTTTTGCGTCGGCGGCCAGGCAGAATGACTGCGCGGGCGGAAAAGCATTGGTAGGGCATACGAGCGCGAATTAAGCCGCGATACGCGAGGGTGAGAGGAGGAGGGCCCGGCGGTGGCGGGAGGGAGACTGAAGCCGGGCTCGCTCAGAGCGGGGCCGGGCGGCGGCAGGGTGGCGCCGGGGGCGGGGGCCAGCAGCAGCGGGGCGGCGGCTTGGGGGGTGGAGCCGGCACGGCAGGCTGCCAGGCACCAGGCCGTGCAGGGGGGGGGCAGTGCCCAGCGACGGCTGGCGTGAAGGTGTGCGCCCAGCGCCAAGGGCCACCAGGTGCCGAGGTGGCGCAAGCCACGAGAGCACCCAGGCCGGCGGCGACCAATGCGGGACCGCCTCAGAGGAGGGGTCGGCCGGAAAACCAGGCACACACACACACACACATGTTGTCCGTAGGCGGCGAAGCAGGATTGGCTGCACCAGCGATAGAGCTAAACGGGGGCACCAACAAGAGAATTGCCCAGCGTGCACGAAAGGCGAAAAGACAGATAGGGCGGCCGCGGAGGAGAAAGGAGGGGACACTCACAGGCGGACGACTTCTGACCTGAGCGCGCTAACGCGGCCAGCCTCGTCAGCGGGGACCATCACACACACACACACACACACACACACACACACACACGCACACACACACACACACACACACTCACCGAGGCCCAGGATCGGCCTGGCCAGGACTAGTGTCAAGCGTATACGCTTTGGAAAACTGGCTCGGCATGTCGCGGCGGCAGCCCCGGCGACACGCGATGCCTTGCAGGCGAAAAGGGCGTGCCGCTCCGCTCTGGGGGGGCAGGAGCCTCTCGCGACGCTGGTGCCTGGGCACTGGCCCGTGGTTCGCGTGCCGCGCCGAAGCGTGGTGGGCCAGAGCCTGCGGCGAGCGAGGGGGGGAAATGAGAACGAGGTCTTCTCAGAAGGCGGCGAGACTTCTCAGAAGCCCCCGCGCCTTGTGAGAAGTTGTTTGTCTCCGGGGAAGGCTTGGAAAACTTCTCAGAAGGCCGAGAGGGGTCCGAGCCTTCTGAGAAGGCCTCCTCCTTCTCACTCCCCCCCCTCGCTCGCCGCCGAGAGCTGGCGGCACAACACGACGGGCCAACTTTCCTGACCGCAGCCGGTGCCCTCTGAACATGGGCGAGGCGGGGCCTCCCGTGACCCTGCGCTGCGCCCTCCAGGGCTGGCCGGCGCCTCCTGTAGCCCCGACGTCGCAGGAACAACGCTATACAGTAGGAGCCCAACCACAAGAAGCCTTCCACAAGAAACCCAACCCTGAGACCCCAGGACATCAATTGATCTTTGGTGTGGGAGCGTCACGCTTTCCATGGCAATACCACCGAGACCCAAGAGACCCAAGGCACCCTGGAGGCAAGCAAGGTGCTTCTTGGGCGTGGGTCTCCACTGTACGTGCACCAGCCAGCAGCAGCGCGGGAGCGAAAGTGCGCATCCTTTTCCCTGCGGGCGCTGCACACGACGCCCGCTCATCCCCGACGACGCCGCGTATCCCCGGCGACGCCCACTTGTCCCCAGCGACGCCACTTGCCCCCAGCGGCGCCACGTGTCCCAAACGACGCCCACATGTCCCCAGCGACGCCCACGTATCCCCAGCGACGCCCAGGTGCCCCCAGCTACGACATTCGTCCCTGGCGACGCCGCTTATCCCCAGCGACGCACATATCCCCAGCGGCGCAGGAGCGAAAGTACGCATCATGCCGCAGCACAATTGTTCGATACACGCCTGTGCCTCAGTGGAATGTCAAGCAGGCGCTGTTTAGGTCCCACGTGCCAGAATCATGAACGCACGCTGGTCCTGATTCTCGACGTCCATGTCCACTCCCTGCTGGCAGAGCTCGCTCGCGATCTCGACGCTACCTCTCCAGAGCCAAGAAGATGAAGATCGGAGTGGACGGAGGTTACAGGAGACAAGGGGAAGGGAGGAGAGGAGAAGAGGGAGGGGGAGCCAAAGTGTGCGAACGAAGGAGAAATTGAAAAGGGGAGGGATAGGGGGCTGGGGATCAAAAAGGGGGAGGAGAGAGCGAGAGAGAGCGAGGGAGCAGGCGCGATGGATTGACGGTGGGCATGGGGACGAAAGACGCTCGGAGCAGCAGAGCGCCCAGGGCGGAGGAATTGGAAGGGACGGCGAGGCGCTGGTAGAAGAGAACGAACAGAGCGGGTGGGGGAAGTGGAACTGATGAGGAAGGAAATCCTCCTCCTCCTCCTCCTCCTCCTCCTCCTCCTCCTCCTCCTCCTCCTCCTCCTCTCCTCCTCCTCCTCCTCCTCCTCCTCCTCCTCCTCCTCCCCCCCCTCGTCCCTCGTCTTCTCCGCTGCCTCCGCCATGACAGGGATGCCTTCGCACTCTCGATGCCGCGTCCAGGAGGCACCCTCGCCAGGGATGCCAACTCCTGGGGGGGAGGGGAGCGTGGCAGGGCCCGGCGCGGACACGGGAGCGGGAGCAGGGCACTGCACCCCTGCAGCATCGCGAAGGAGAGAGACCCCGAAGCGGCGACGGGCAGCACACGATACAAGGCTCTGGACAAAAATCATCCTCATCCTTTTCCTCCAGGGCCCTCCTCCTCTTCCGCCTCCTCCTCCTGCTCCTACTCCTCCTCCTCCTCCTCCTCCTCCTCCTCCTCCTCCTCCTCATCATCATCATCATCATCATCATCATCATCATCATCATCATCATCAACATCAACATCACCATCATCAGCATCATCAACATCATCATCATCATCATCATCATCATCATCATCAGCAGCATCATCATCATCATAATCATCATCAGCAGCAGCATCATCATCGTCATCATCATCAGCATCCTCATCCTCATCCTCATCCTCATCCTTATCCTCATCCTCATCCTCATCCTCATCATCATCATCCTCATCATCCTCATCATCATCAGCATCATCAGCATCATCAGCATCATCAGCATCAACAGCATCAGCATCATCATCTGCAGCATCAGTATCCGCATCAGCATCATCATCAGCAGCATGATCATCCTCATGCTCCTCCTCCGCCTCCTCCTCATGATCATCATCCACAACAGCATCCTCATCCTCATCCTCATCCTCATCCTCATCCTCATCATCCTCATCATCATCATAAACATCACAATCATCATCAGCATCATCAGCATCATAAGCAGCATCAGTATCAGCATCATCATCATCAACATCAGCATCATCAGCATTATCATCATCAGCATCAGCATCATCGTCAGCATCAGCATCATCATCATCAACATCATCCTCATCATCATCAGCATCAGTATCGTCATCATCAGCATCATCATTATCATCAACAGAATCAGCATCAGCATCATCATCAGCAGCATCAGCACCTGCATCAGCATCAGCAGCAGCACCATCCTATACCTTTTTCTGCCTCATGATCCTCCTCCGTATCCTCCCTCTGCCCCCTCCTCCTCCTCCTCGTCCTCGTCCTCCTCCTCTTCCTCCTCCTCCTCCTCGTCCGCCTTCTCTTCCTCCTGCTCTTCCACCTCCTCTTCCTCCTTCCCCTCCTCCTCCTCCTCATGCTCCTCCTCCTCATCCTCGTCATCGTTCTCATCCTCCTCCTCCTCCTCATCCTACTCCTCATCATCACCATCATCAACATCAGCATCATCAGCAGCATCAGTATCAGCATCATCATCATCATCATCATCATCATCATCATCATCATCATCAGCAGCAGCAGCATCATCACCATCATCAGCAGCAGCATCATCATCGTCCTCATCAGCATCATCATCAGCATCGTCAGCAGCATCATTATCAGCATCAGCATCGTCAACATCATCATCAGCATCATCAGCATCAGCATCATCGTCAGCATCAGCATCATCATCAGCATCATCAGCATCAGCATCAGTATCGGCATCATCAGCATCATCAGTATCATCAGCAGACTCAGCATCAGCATCATCATCAGCAGCATCAGCATTTGCATCAGCATCAGCAGCAGCATCATCCTCTACCCTTTCTGCCTCATGATCCTCCTCCATATCCTCCCTCTGCCCCCTCCTCCTCCTCCTCCTCCTCGTCCTCGTCCTCATCCTCTTCCTCCTCCTCCTCCTCGTCCGCCTTCTCTTCCTCCTGCTCTTCCACCTCCTCTTCCTCCTTCCCCTCCTCCTCCTCCTCCTCATGCTCCTCCTCCTCCTCCTCATCCTCGTCCTCGTTCTCATCCTCCTCCTTCTCATCCCACTCCTCGTCATCACCATCATCAACATCAGCATCATCATCAGCAGCAGCAGTGTCATCATCATCAACATCATCATCATCATCAGCAGCAGCATCATCACCATCATCAGCAGCAGCAGCATCATCATGATCATCAGCAGCAGCATCATCATCAGCAGCAGTATCATCGTCAACATCAGCATCAGCATTATTATCATCATCAATATCGCCATCACAACCACAACCATCATAATCACCAACAGCATGACCGTACTCAGAATCATCATCCTCATCAGCAGCCTAAAGTATCATCAGCATCATCACCACCATCACCACCACCACTATCAGCATCAGCATCATTATCACCCTCACAATCGACATCACCCGTATAAGCATCATCAGCAGCAGCAGCAGCAGCAGGAGGAGCAGGAGGAGCAGCAACAGCAGCATCAACATCATTATCTTCGTCATCATCAGCAGCAGCATGACCAACATCATCATCAGCGGTCGAATCATCAGCAGCAGCAGCATCAGCATCAGCATCAGCATCAGCATCAGCATCAGCAGCATCAGCAGCATCATCATCATTATCAGCATCATCATCATAATCATCATCATCATCATCAGCATCATCATCATCATCATCAGCATCATCATCATCGTCATCGTCATCGTCATCGTCATCATCATCATCATCATCATCATCATCATCATCATCATCATCATCATCATCATCGTGATTCCCATCACCAGTATAAGCATCATCAACAGCATCAGCATCACCATTATCATCATCATCATCACCCTCATCAGCCTCATAATCAGAATCATCATCATCATCAGCATCAGCATCATCATCGTCATCATCATCATCATTATCATGGCCATCACCATCGCAATCATCATATTCATCAACAACATCACAACGCTCATAATAATCATCCTCATCGCCAGCCGAATCATCATCAGCAGCATCATCACCACCACCACCATCAACATCATCAGATCCCTCCCAACCATCACCATTATTAGTATAATCAGCACTATCAACATCATCACCATCAGCAGCAGCATCATCATCTCGTCATCGTCATCGTCCTCCACATCATCCTCATCATAAACACCACCATCATCAACATCATCTCCATCCCCATTCCCATCAGCATCATCACCATTTATCAGCAGCAGCAGCATCAGCATCAGCATCAGCATCATAACAAGCATGATCATACTGATCATCATCATCCTCATCAGCAGCAGCAGCATCACCATCCTTACAGGGCAGTGTTTAATACATTGGATGTTTAAAAACCAATGTATGTATGAATCAACCCTTTCTTTTCAAAACATGGTCCGCACGCGGAGCGTGTATCAAAAACGGCACTGTACCATCATCATCATCAGCAGCAGCAGCAGGATCATCAGCAAGCATGATCATACTGATCATCATCATCCTCATCAGCAGCAGCAGCATCATCCTTACCATCATCGTCATCAGCAGCAGCAGCAGGATCATCATCAGAATCGTCAGCATCGTCAGCAGGAGCAGCAACACCGTCCGCACCCTCCCTCGAAATACGGCTTCCTCGCGCGAGCCCCAAGGTGCAGGCACCCAGCTTTCGCTCCCCCCCCCCCTCTCCTCTCCCACACCCCCTCTCCTCTCCCCCACCTCTCCCACACCTCCTCTCCTCTCCTCTCCCACACCTCTCCCACACCTCCCCTCCTCTCCCACACCTCCTCTCCTCCCCCCCCACCTCCCCTCTCCCACACCTCCTCTCCTCCCCCCCCCTCTCCTCTCCCACACCCCCTCGGCATGAGGGACGGTGGCTGCTGGTGGAGGCGACCCCTGGCTCATCAAGGCCTTCCCCGGGACCGACTGTCCATCATAAAATCATGCTTGGTGGCCCAGCGACCCAAAAGGAGGGCCCCGGGAGGCCCAAGAGCTCCAGAACCCCTCTCCTCCAGGGCCCGTCTTGTTCATGGCGGCCCCCTAGAAGCGCCACCATACAGCGCAGCGATGACCAGCGGAGTGGAGCCGTCGTCCGTGGGCCGGCGTATGTCTGCGCGGTTGCGAATCCGCTGGCCCCGGCAGGGGGTGGCGGCGGTGCTTCACTTTCTCCCCCCTGCGCCCTCCTCCAAGACGGGGGAGGCATCCGTTTCCAGGCGGGGGGGGCAAGAGGGAGGAGGAGGAGGAGGAGGAGGAGGAGGAGGAGGAGATCTTACCTTCCCGTGGGTCTTTGATCCGCCTGGACGCCTCGGGTGAGAAGGGCACGTATCTTAACGTGCCTGCGGGCAAGCACTCGACTGCGGGCCTTGAGGAGCGAAGGACCCCAACGGGCCCCTATCCCCCACCAGCACGCAAGGAATTGGAAGTCGAGTAAGTTACACCGTGGGTTATAACCATGGCCAGCCGACATTCGGGCACCGTCTCAGGAATTTCGTGCACGAACGTTCGATGATGGAGAAACAAAGCGAGAACAGACAAGGGCAAAGCGGGAACGAGAGAAGACAGCAGAGGGAGCAGGGACGGACAAGAGGACAAATGGGCCCCCTCATCTCCCCCGACCGCACAGCACCCGAAGCTGCAGATATTTGTTCCCTGTCGGAACCTGCGGATGGTGGGCCAGGCATTGCAAACAGTACGGAGATAGGCGCTTCCAGTACACGACACAAGCTTACAGTTGGCGATCAGCAAGTTCAACAGGACACGATCACCGACAGGGGGGGGGGCCTCAGGCCAGAAGTACCGCACGCGCCTCAGAAGATCAGGTACAGGAGGAGGGTGAGGATGTCTCAGACGAAGGAGATTGTCAATCCTTCCCTGAGGCCCACTAACATCAGGGCCGGCCAGCGCAGGAGCAATCGAGGTAAGCTCCCTCCAGCACTGCATCATGTCATACATGACCGACTGCTCCCACCACTCAGGAGCCCGAGGGACAAGGAGGACGTAAATGTCCGAGGCTGCATTGAACATGGGATACAGAAGCTAGACGTGGCGTCCCCGAGCTCCGTGGATCCCGCAGCGGCCCAAAACATAGCAGCCCGAGCAGAACAGACCAGGTCCCTGGGCTCCGCCGCCACCCCAAGATCTCCAATCCCACGAAAAAGAGCACTAAGGATGGCATGGCGCGGCGCGGAGGTCAGTCGCTGCAATGCAGTGTGCCCGGTGGCCATCACGTGTTTGGTGACAAGGTACACTTGCCAGACGTGAGTGAGCACGGGCATACCATGAGCGACAGGTACACCCGACCCGGCAGCTTCGCAAACGGAGCGTTCCAACTCTCATCACATCCACCCGGGCCCAAGATCACGCCAAGATATGTTCCGCAAGGAAGGAAATTGAATTTCCGAGCGTTCAGTCCCATGGCCCGAAAGGCTCGCACGGCTTCCGGGGGTCCCGAAGCCCAGGAACAACAGCCACATACTTATCGAGATTCAGACTGAGCCCAGTGACAGCAGAACTCTTCAACATCCATGTGACAATGACAGACAATGAGAAGCACACGTCACGGAAAGTGCACCCCACGTCGTCGGCAAAGGAGAAGAGACGAGCAGGATGTGGAGAGATCCGCTGTTCGAGAACACGCAAGACAGGGTCGATCGCCAAGGCGAAAGTAAGCCCTGTCAAAGGGCAGCGTTGCTTCACACCTCTCCGGATGGCCCACCCAGGAAATTTAATTCCACGGAACAGAAGGTCGACCTCGATATCCGAATACAGAGACCTGACAGCCTGCACACGGTGATCGGGACACCCCACCCCCTCGAGCATCGTGGAAATCCACGCGTGGTTGAGAGAGGGGTAGGCAGCAGCCGTCCACAAGCAGGGTTCCTGCATCGGGGTACCCTCGCCAAGCACACTACTCCAGGATCCAGGATTCCAGGCCGACGATGTTGTCCAGGACATTCCGCCCACGGGTAAACCCTCGAGCAGACCTTAGAGTCCCATTGTGGGCTTGTCCCATGAATTGCACGCCCAGGCATGACGCAAAGATCTCTTTCACAGTGCTGCTCATTGTTAGCGTCACAGCCTGCTTGGGCTCAACGATGGTCCCCCCGTCGTCGTTGACATCTTTTTTGGGTAGGATAACAGCATTGGATAACAGCATTGCCATACTTGCCTGCAGGAGGCTTCTGGAACCCAAGGAGAGCTTCATGCCCACGAAACAGAATTTGATGGACACGATTACTGGCACGCGCCCATGCGCTATAGGGAACTCCGCCGGGACCAGGGGTCGAGTCATGTTTAGCGGCCACAACGCCCGTGAACGTCCCGAAATCAGGCGCGAAATCAATCACAGGAGAAAGAGGGGGTAGACGCTGCCGGAGTTTTTCCGCTGCTTGGGGAGACACGAGAACATCACGCCCAACAGCCCGGTCACGCACGGGCCCCCGGCGGTTGACGGGGCTCGCTGCTGATTGCTCGCCCGACGTCGGCCCCCGCAGCAACCGGGCCACCAACAGCGAACTTGATGAACTTCCGCCGGTTGGGAGACCGAGCCTCAATCGGTTGGACGCACTTCGATGCTAACGGATCCGTCGCATTGGCCATCCCGGGGCAGGCTGGAACCCTGTCCACCAGGGAGCTACTATGATTCCTGCTCTTCTTCGCCGATGAGGCTGCCTCCTGCCTCCCACGTTCGGCGTCACCGTCGGCAGGACAACGGTAACCCCCAGCGACCCCTGGGCCGGTGCTCACGAGGGCCCCCGCCTCCTTCCCGAGAGAGGGTGGCACGCGAGTCATAGGGCAAGTCCTGGGGCATACCGTCGGGGCGTTGACCTAAGGGACCCTGAATAAGGAACGAGGATCCTTTTTCCACAAGTGAAACTTCGACTTCCCATGGAAAACCTCAGGAACACCTGAGGCAAACTGTAAAGCAATCAAGGAACACCGAGCCCCTCCCCAACGAACAAGGTTCCTTGCCCAGCGCCCCGACTGCATCATCTAGCATGTCGTCGGGCAGGTCATCTGGCAAGACCGCGGGCTGGTCATCAAGCAAGTCGTCGGGCATGACATCTGGATCTACAAAGCCCCCCCCCCCCGTGCACATCTGATTCGTTCGGACACGACGAGGCCAACATAACCGCAGCCCTGCAACGGAACCGAGACCCGAGGAGACCATGGAGCTTGTGGAAGTTGACGTACACCATGTGCTCCAAAACATCGCATTCCCCCAGAATCGACATGGCGCCCACGCACTGCCTCAAAAGGATCCGTCGGCCAACGCCGCACGCATGAACTTCAACAGAACAACAATCTCTAGAGAGACGTGCTGAGGTCAGAACTTGAACATCCACTTCTTGAGCACCCCCGTCACAGCATACAGCATTGTCTTGACATCTTCTATGGCCTGGTAAGGATCGGGGCAACACCTGATCCGCCCAGCATCTGATCTAGAAAGACATGAGGAGGAGGAGGAGGAGGAGGAAGAAGAAAAATAGCCAGGGTGTAACCGACACGGACCTCGCCCCAGCGCACCACTGCCGAGGCAACACTCTCGGCCCTCTTGAGCCCACGTCTCCAGCACCACAGAAACTCGCAGAATTGCAGTGCCCTCCGAGTCGCCTCTGGAGCCCCTCGTGGACATGGGTGGCGACCTTGAGATATGCGCAGAAAGCTTTGGCGTCAAAACTTGAACCGCAGCGGCGGGCACTCCCGCTCCAAAAGTCTGCCATCAAACCTGGCAGTGTACCCACACTTAATACATAACAACAAAATCTCTGCGCTCCACTTTCAAACCTGGTGGCTGGGGTCTACTCTCCCATTACCGACCCAAACCTCACCCGACACACGACGCACCAAGACCCCAGCCAGATTCGGCGTAGTCGCCGCCAGGGATGGAGGAGGGGAGAGACAAGGACGGGCGCGCGCCTGCGCCAGCGCCACGCTGGTCGCGCACTCCCCGCGGGCCTGACATCGCCACCTGCCTCCGACCACGCGGGCGAACGAGCGGGTCGAAGCCGCGAGAAGACGATTAGACAGCTGGGCCCGCTGGTCGTTCGCCATCACTATTCACCAGGCAGGTTCCCTCACCGGGAGAATGGATCAGACCCTCAGGGCGCCCAAGATCCTTCTGATGCTGCCGCTGGCAGCGCCCCTCAGAACCCCCAGGACCGCCGCCCTGGCGAGAGCGCCCCGGGCCTGGGGGCGCCTGGGAGGGAGAGCCCAGGATTGTGCTATCAATGCGAACAGCCTGACTCTCATGGGGTGTGATACTGCAACTCTTCAGCAGAAGTCCCAAACGCCATACTGGTGCACGGGCAGCACTGGCAGCTCCGCTCCTGGGTCCTGGGTGTTGTCTTCGTTGTCCTGCACGCCGCTGCGCTCCTGCCTGAGCTGCGCTGGGTCCTGCTCGTAGACCTCCCTTCAAGGAACTGCAGAGACTCGACATAGTCGCGCGAGCATGCCCTGCCATTGCTGACGGCCCTGCTCGCCTATCCTTCCTAGATAATGCGCAGAAGACCCTCTAAAATAAATGAACTCAGGGAGCCAATACGTTTCAAGAGGGTACACTGCTGACCCCAATCCAACTGCATGGCTACAAACTTCCTGAGTCTGCTGGCTAAGGTGCCCACGACACTCCAGTTCTCTGAAATCAGATCCCCAATGTGAACCCTGCCTGACGATGACTTAGAGGACTTCCATTTTGGGCAAATCCATTGCGTCTGCCCTTCCCGATTCGCATTGTTCCATTTCTCGATACAGGGTGGTTTCTTCCAAGGCCGCGATCCAAAACCCGCATTGCAAATCAACGAGCTTCTGAGCATCAGCGCAGCGCAACATCTTAGTTTCTGGCATCGGGAACCTCGAGAAATCCAAACCATCTTTCATGATACATTTTGCTGCATGCCAACCGGCCTGTCATTTCTCCTCCTGGAGGTGAAAACTGATTACATCCTCCTCCTCGGCCTCCCCCATGTCTTCCACGGCCTCGATCACGGGGCCCTGAAACGCCGGCGGAAGAGAGGCAACTCGACGAGCTTGCTCTTGCTGCTGCTTATTATTCGTTGCCTGCCGCCTGGGCTTTGGGCTTATGATGAGCAGGAAGACTCGGAACAAGAGCGACAAATTGGCGCGGCCATTTTTGCTGCACACCTTTGAGCCGAACCTCAATACCACAATGTGTAGCCCAAGGTACATCAGAAACTGCATGTGCTGCATGTAACGACACACGCTCATGAAAGCCGCCCTCGACCATTGCGCGATCATAAAGAACCCTTGTCACAGGTAAAGGCCACATCTGGGACTACGAGCTCGCCATTCATCTTGCTCGGCCACTCCGAATCGATCAAGTCCTGCGGAGACATGTTCCAATCAGCCACGATAACCCATGGGTCTGTGACCACGTGCAAGAAGCCTGCGAACGCCTTCATCGCGTCCTCATTCCTCCTCGCGATGCCAATCCCAGGGAGGAGGTAGGCGGATATGGTCAACAAATTTCCTGATTGCATATGCCAGACAAGCGGCGCACACCCACGGAACGGGTCCTTCTTGCCAGTATACAGACTTGCCTTTCTGACTGAATCCAAAGTAGTGGTCGCTACATGAGATCTTGCCAACACCCACTCTCCAGCAGAGAAGCCCGCATTGTTGCGGTACGCTGGTGCGGCAGATAACTTCCACCTGCCCTTGCGAAGTAGTTCTCTTGCCAAAGGGACGCGCTCTTCTTCCACATGCGCTTCCGATAAGGCGATGACCTTGTAGATGTCCTTACCGTCGTGAATGTATCGGCCCGCTTGGGGGGGCCACTGCGTGATGTTGCCGGAAACGAACTTTGTGTCAAACATGAGCGGTAGCAGCACCACCAACACCAGCACCAGTAGCCTTACCAGCGCCCTTCTTGGACATCCTCTTCTTGGCCTCCTTGAAGCTGCAGGGAGACCCTGCTGCCGCGGACGCCTGCGCAAGGAGGGCTGCCTGCTTGACCGTCTCAGCCGCCGCCCGCTGCTCTTCTTCATCCAGGACTTTCTCTGACCTTGGCTTGGCAGCTTCCTTGTCGGCCTCTGGAGCTGCTGCAGCTGCTGCAGCGTCACCGCCAGGTACACTTTGTCCAGATGCTGTTTTCCTTTTCTTGTTCGCTGGAGCCTCCACCGTCTTCTTGATATCCGCCAAGAGTGCCTCCAACCTCTTCTGGCCGTCCAAGAGGGAGTGAGGTGGTTCACCAGCTCTGCTTTCCATTCCAAGAAACTCTGCTTGGCAGGCCCATCGTACTCTTCAATGTCGTCGGTAGGCGATTCATCGACGGCAAACAAAACTGCGAGGCCGTCCGAGGTGAGGTTGGGATTGACTTTCGCCTCGGTGCCTCTGAGCGCGCGGAACTCTGCATAGGCGGCATCGCGCTCCTTCTCCGCCAAGTGGACCAGGACTGACTGGTCGGTAAGCTCCTGCTCGCAATCTTCCAGGTGTTTCTGGGCTGCCGCACGCTTGGCCGCCAACCGAGAAAGCTTCCTGGTCTGCTGCTCGTACTGCGTGCCGGACCGTAGCATACGCTGCCTGGCCGTCTGCGGATTGTTGGTGTTCTTGCCTCTCTGCATTTTCTCGTGTGTCTCCATCTCGAGCTGAAGTGCCTGGGCAGCAGGCGATCATCGAAGCTCATGTGTCAGCTGGTCGAGGAGGGCCTTGGGCGAGGTCGTGCTCTCCATTTTGTCACGATCACGTGCCCACGGCGCTTTCCCTCCTGTCCGCTGCTGCACGGCACTCTTGTCCGCCCCTGCCTTGTAGATGTCAGGAGGCTCTTTACAGATGACGCAGGTGTAGTCATTCTGAATGATGCGCCAATTGTAGCTCCACTTGCCGCACGAGCACCAGGCGAACTGCTGCCAATACTTTTTCCCCGTCGCCGGGTAGACCTCTTCTTGGCAAGTGTTTGTACGCGTCCAGCGACCCTGGTGGCCACTGGATCCAGACCTGGGCGAACAGGCCGAAGATCTGAGAACGCGCTCGGACTAGAGCGATCCTTGCTGCCTGGAGGCTGAACAGCCCCCCAGGGAAACATCTTGCACCCCAAAATGGCTACGGAGGGGAGGAGGAGGAGGAGGACGAGGAGAGAGGAAGGAGGGGGAGGAAAAAGGCTGATGGGAGGAGTAGGGGGAGGAGCTCGCTCGCCCTGCGAGGGGGAGTGAAGGGGGAGAGGCGACCTCCTACGCCTGTTCCTCCTCATCCCCTCCCCTGGCCTGGCCACGGAGGCCCACATACGCCGATCCTGAACCCCCAGGAGTCGGCCTGGCCAAGGCAGGAGATGTGGATACAGTCAACCCGTACAATGAGGACGCACGATAAGGGTGCAAGGGTCTTGGAAGGCCATGTCGACACTTTGCGAGCGTCGCGGCGCGGCCAGAGAAAGCGGCCGAGGAAGGGCCGAAGGGGAAGGCTGCAAGGGTGACCTTGGAGAGTCGCACATCCGCACTATGCATGGTGACTGCAGCTGACGTTCCTCGGAGGAGGGGCAGGGCGAGGCCGAGGCGGGTGAGGGAGGAGGAGGAGGCAGTCGAGGCGGAGGGGGAGGAGGGGAGCAAGGCCTTCGAGGCCCGCGGGGGTCGTCGCGCGTCGGGAAGGGGCATCAGCCTGCTGCATCAAGAGCTGCGCCACGGCATGGTCGCCCCTGGCGTCTTTGTCGTCGTAGCCGTCGTCGTCGTCGTCGTCGTCCTCGTCGTCCTCGGCCTCGTCCTCGTCCTCCTCCTCGTCCTCCTCCTCCTCCTGCTCCTTCCGTGCTGCTGAGGAACCTGCCGTTGTGTCAGAACCGCAGATTGAAAGATACTATGTCGCATTGCATCTTCGTCGTCTTCGACTTATTACCTATCTCGCGCGGTCGGTGCGAAGCTCGGGGTGGGGGCGTAGTGACACTCACCCTCGCTGCGCGACTGCTCTACCTCACTGACTCAATCGTTCTCACACTTACCCACCATCTCGGTTACCACCACCATTCATCATCATCAGAAGCAGCAGCATCAGCAGCAGCAGCATCAGCATCATCATCATCATCATCATCATCATCATCATCATCAGCATCATCAGCATCATCATATTCATCAAAATCAGCATCACCATCATCAGCTGCAGCGACAGCAGAATCAGCATGAAAGTCATCATCGTCGTCATCAGAATCATAATCATGATCATAATCATAGTCATCAGCATCACCATCAACATCAGCAGCATCATCAGTATCATGATCGTCATCATCATCGCCCTCGTAGTAATCAGCGTCGTCGTCGACTTCGTCACCATCAGTGCCATCACTATCATCAGCATCGTCACCAACACATCATCATCATCATCATCATCATCATCATCATCATCATCATCATCATCATCATCATCATCACCACCGTGCATCATCATCAGTATCGTCGACGTCGCCGTTGTTGTCGTCGTCGTCGTCAGCATCATCGTCGTCGTCCTCACAACCATCACACTCGTCGTTGGCAGCGTCGGCCCGTCATACACAGAATCACTGTAGCATGCATTGTCATGAGCATCATCATCATCACCACCATCATCATCAGAATCACAACCAGCATGTGAATCATAATCGTAATCCAAGTCATC